TATAAATATTTGAAACTATATACACATGCTTTGTATAGCCATATAGTCTAAAAAAATGGACTAGAGATAGGCTAAAATGGTCTGTTAAATCATCAAGGTGACTTTCAGCTTCTTCATTCATATGATACTATGCTTTTTACAAGTTACCTATTATAAATAGATTAGTAATAGACTACAGGAGTCTAAAATTATCTGTTAAATCAGCTATGTGACTTTCAGCTTCCTTATTTATGCTAAATATACATCTGTTGTACTATTTACACAGTCTTGTGTTTGTGTACACATGTTTATACTCAAACTAGTAATTAGACTAAAAATATATTAAAATGAATAGACAAAAATAGTCTGTTAAATAAGCTAGATGACTCTCGGATCTCTTATTTATACTAAATATAAATCTGTGATGCTATACACAAGTAAATAGACTAAATAAATTGAAATCCATTCTCGATCCCCGGGTCTGACGGGAGCACTTTTAGCTTAGCTTAGCATAGATAATTGAATCAGATTAGACCGTTAGCATCTCTCTCAAAAATGAGTTTTGATATATTTTCTATTTAAATCTTAATTCTTCTGTAGTTACATTAGGTACTAAGACCAGCAGAAAAGGAAAAGTTGCTACTTTCTAGATCGATATGGCTTGGAGCTGTACTCGTTGGAGTAATGTCTGTACTCTGGAGTAATAGTCAAGGAACTTATGATGCCCTACGATGACTGCAGCAGGCGCAATGATATTACACATCGCCTGAAAATCAATATAACAAACATGACCCCCTACTTGCTCAGGGAGTGTTTGTTGGTTGAAAGTTAGCTAACTGGGGACTATTTTCAGGCACTGCGTAATATCATTGCACCTCCTGCAGCCATCGTAAGCTAGCAAATTGGCTTGATTCTTACGCCGGAAGGAGAGTATAGTTCCTAGCCATATTGATCAAGAAAAAAGCAGCTTTTCTATTCATTTTTCTTTGGTCTATTAAGTACAGAAAGGTCAAGCTTGAAATGGGAAAATGATCAAAACTCTTTGGTCATTTTTGAGTTGATGCTAATGGTCTAATCCGATTAATGATTTAAGCTCAGCTAAGCTAAAATGCTCCGCTCAGACTCAGAGATCAGCTGAATGTATTTAAAAACGTTTTAAAAAACTCAATTGTTTAACTCTACAGTTGTAAAATAAGTCTATTTCAAAACAGTTGTGGAGTGCTCCATTAAATGTATGGTAAAAATCCCTTTTTCTGTCCCTGCATGAGTTCTCATATTGTGCTGTACATTCTAGGCAAGCTTTTCCGCTCGTCAGATCTGCCAATAATTGTGGAGTTCATCCTGATGTTCCACAGAGACAAGCCCATCGACTGGCTGCTCGATCACTTCCTGTGGGTTAAAATGTGTAACCCAGAGAAAGACGCAGTAAGTTTTAAAGGGCACCTAGTGTACCCCTTTTTAAAGATTTATTATTAATATTATGGTTCTGAGTGTGCCAGTTTAGGTTCAGTTTAAAACACAGTTAAATTTTTTTTATTATAATGTGTTAAAAAGTTTCATGTTAGGGGTGTGTACACAGCTCGCTGTTTAAGGGGTGTGTTGCTTCACATGAAAATTAGTTTCCAACATAACAAGGGGGCGGAGCCAAGAGCTCCCATGCTTTGTGTATGGCAACAGACAGGCAGACAGAGAGAAGCAACATGAGTGAGAGGATCAGCATTCAGCCGTACATGTACAACTCGGACACAGACCAAGCAGAGACTACAAAATCATTTGTGTCTTCGTAAAGTTTTACAGCCAACTGTGTGCTAGTTTAAAGTTCCGAGCTTGTACACTGAGACTAATAACAACGCACACTGAATTAACTTTGACGGAGGCTATAACTAAAGGGCGTCACACACCGGATGCACAGCTCAAAGCCGCGTCACGGCACACCAGACATGCACGTTTGCATGTTTTTTTTTAATTAAACTATTCAGATGGCACGGTAGAAATATGAACAGTGTTCTGAGTCATGGCTGAGCACCGCAGACAGGTGTGTACCCTGATAGAAACCCATGTTTACAATTCTAAAATGCATGGCTCTGCACGTCGCTGAGCTGCTCTTTTGGTGTGCGACCTGCTTAAGGCAAGTTCATTATTTCCAATGGAGGGACATGCATATGAGGCAACGTGCTCGAACTTTCTAGCTGCACCTACTGAAGATGGCCGGGAGCTTCTGTGACCGTGGGAAAGGCAAACAGCTGAAGTGTAAGGAAGATGCAATGAAAAGTACACAGGTTTGCAAACCTACCTTAAGTTACAAACAATGGCGCTGATGAGAGCGATCATGTGGTGAATGTTAATCTTGTGTTGAGCCCAATGAGCCTTACATCTAAAAATAGAGCAAGGGTGTTTCTTTGGTGACATCGCTTTGACTCACATGCTGAAAATGGCGGATGTAAAACAACAAACTGAGGATGGTGATGCGAGTCAGTCATTATCAGTGGGCGGGGGGACCGCAATCCTACGTCAAGTTGCGGTCGATCTAAAAAACGCTCCAATTGGTCCACCGTTTTTATGTTGTTAAATTAAAAAAAAAAAGGACTGGGTGTGTTTATATCACCCCAATATGATGGTCTATACACTTTACCTACACACTAGCTGTCTGTCCAAACAGCTTGAAAAGTAGATTTTTCACCATAGGTGCCCTTTAATATAATATTTAAAGGAGTCTTGGACTGTCCTAATTTAAAGTCCACTTATATTATCAGCATTTTTGATCAAAATTTAGAAGTAATATTGTCTCTCGTTTTGACTCCTCATCTGAACTGAAATTGTCAACTCAGAAGTACATGCCCACTGGTCTGATTGGCTAACAGTTTTTAATATTTAAATATTTTTAAACGTTTGATAGTAGATTTGTTTGTCCATCGATGTAAATTCTACATGTATTGACAACCTACATCACATTCATAGATGGACACACTGCTTTAATTTAAGTTTGTTTATTTGATTGATTGATTGATTGATTGATTGATTGATTGATTTGATTGATTGATTGATTGATTGATTGATTGATTGATTGATTGATTGATTGATTGATTGATTGATTGATTGATTGATTGATTGATTGTAATTTAAGTGTCGTTCAAATGATTTAAGTTTGAATCGATGGGCAGAGCTAACAGTTAATGCTATAGAAGTGTACATTAATCTTATTTTGTGGAGGCGGAGTTTAGCACATTATTATGTAATAGTTGTTATTTACTGTCTTGAGCAGGGGTCACCAATCTCGTTCCTGGAGGTCTGGTGCCCTGCAGGGTTTAGCTCCAACTTGCCTCAACACACCTGCCTGGCTGTTTCAAGTATACCTAAGACCTTGATTAGCTTGTTCAGGTGTGTTTGATTAGGGTTGGAGCTAAAATCTGCAGGACACCGGACCTCCAGGAACAAGTTTGGTGATCCCTGGTCTACAGTATACATTAGTGAGCGGGACTAAACAGGCAGTGATCTACTAGTAGGCGTTGATTTTCTTCCATGGAGTTTAAATACATGTAATAAATGTGTTATTTCCAGACTTTGGTGTGAATTGGTTAGTGGGGTAAACAGGAAATAATGTAAAAGTGGGCGTTCATGTATCTGTAGGCAGAGTTTAGCCACAATATTATTTAATAGTCCTTATTTACTGATTATAGTGTGAATTGGTGGGTGCAGCCCATCATTATTAATTAACCCTACAAACTATTGTATCACAGTGTTAATTTTTACAGCTATTTTTGATTTAGCTTTAGACTTATTATTTATTAATCATGGTCACTTTTTAGTCTTTGTAGTTTTATTATGTACTTTATCACACTATTATGTAATATAGTGATTATTTATTGACTACAATGTAAATCAGTAGGAGGGGCTAACAGGTAGGGATGTTGAAGTGGGTGTTGAATTTATTTTGTTGAGGAAGATTTTAGCCACATTAATAAAAGTTGTTTTTTACACACTACAGTGTGAATCGGTGGGCGGGGCTAGCAGGCAGTAAGTGGGCGTTTATCTTCGTTTATGGAGGCGGGGTTTATCTACACTATTATGTGATAAACTGGCACAGTCACAGCTTGTTTTAACAGATAGGCTTCAATATATGTCCCTTAAGACTAAGTTCTGAAACTTTCAGTACATGATGTTTTTATAGTACAATTATCTTAAACGTCAAAAAGATTAAAGATATTTAGATTTCTTTGTCATTGGATTAAATCTTTGCACTTAGAAACACTGCAGTAATGAGAAGGCCCGACTGAAGAGAACCCACAAACCCTCCCTGTTTCAGCATGTCGGTCTGCATTCCTCTCTGCCCGGTAAAATTCAAAACCTGAGGGTAAGAAAAACTTCTTCCTGCATGCCATTTTCATGTATATGTATATGTTAGGGTTTTGTTTACTAAAATGGAAACAACTGAATGTTGTTTGCTCAATAATAAGCATTAGTATGTTATTATTTACAGTAGCTAATATACTCCATCGTGAGGATAAGAAACACAAGGCACAGTCAAGGTCTTATTCAGGGTTTTTTAATGGGAAATACATCCTTTTAGGTCCTTTAAAAGTGCAGGTGTTACTAATTATTAGGGGATTCCTAAACTAATGTGTTTTGTTAGTTGTAAAGTAACACATGGTGACTTCTATGTATATATTATATTTGAAAATATTGAGAATATTATTTATAATATTGAGAAATATGTGAAAATGTATAAAAATTAACATGACAACTAATCATTTAGTTTTTATAAATAACAATAGTTTTTGGTTAAAAATAAACCTGTTTTTATTTATTTTTATTTAATATTTTTTTCATGATTGACTTATTACTTTCTGACTTGACCTATTTACTTACTGATTGACTTACTGACTTATTTACTTACGTACTGACTGACTTACTGACTTATTTACTTACTGACTGACTTATTTACTTACTGACTGACTTACTCATTTATTTACTTACTGAGTTTACTTACTGACTGACTTATTTACATACTGACTGACTTACTGACTTATTTACTTACTGAATTATTTACTTATTAACTTTACTTACTGACTGACTTACTGACTGACTTATTGACATTCTGACTTACTGACTTCTTTACTTTACTTATTGACTGACGTGACTTATTTACTTACTGACTTACTGATTTACTGACTTATTTATTTACTGACTTTCTGACTTTCTTTCTCCCTTACTGACTGACTTCCTTACTCACTCACTGACTTACTTATTGACTTACTGACTTACAGTACTTTACTGACTTTACTTACTGACTTATTTACTTACTGACTGACTTATTTACTTAACTTACTGACTGACTTACCGACTCACAGACTTACTGACCTACTGTTTTTCTTCTTCCCTTACTGACTGACTTCCTTACTGACTTACTTATTGACTTACCGACTCATTTACTAACTGACCTACAGTACTTTACTTTCTTTACTTACTGACTTACTGACTTTCTTACTGACTTATCTACTGACTTACTTCACTTACTTTTCCTACCGACTGACTTCCTTACTGACTTCCTTACTGAATATCTACTGACTTTATTTACTTACTCATTAACTGACATATTTACTTACTGGCTTACTGACTGACTTACTGACTTATTTAACGTTACTGGCTTACTGACTGACTTACTGACTTACCAATTTACTGACTGACTTATTTACTTACTGACATACTGACTGATAGACAGACAGACTTATTTAAATACTGACTTACTTGCTGACTAACTGACCGACTTAACTTACTAACTTCACTTACTGACTTATTTACTTACTGACTGACTTACTGATGTCTTTACTGACTCACTTACTGACTTATTTACTAGCTGACTTACTTTTCTGACTGACTGACTGACTCACTGACTTACTTAATTACTTACTTTACTTACTGGCTGACTGACTAAGTTTAGTTTCTGACTTATTTAGTTACTGACTTACTTACAGACTTATTACCTAATAACTTACTGACTTTCGGACATACTATCTGACTTACTTCTTTACTTATATACTTGTTTCCTTACAGGATAAAGATTTTGGGAAGCAGGTGCTTTTTAAAGGCCACTCAAACCCATCTGCAGTTCTCAGCACCACCCTGGAGCAATATCAGACTCACTCTCTGGAAAGAGCTTATAACGGAGAGGACTTCTTCTGGGGTCTCACACCCAAACGCGGAGACTACATCCTCATCACTTTCACCAGACCTCAGGCCATCAAAGAGTGAGAAAACAACACAATCATTTAATTTTGCTGATTTCATTTTCATTGATTTACTTATGAAGCACTGCTACAGTCCTATAAGAGGTAATAGGGAAAGGACAAATGAATAAGGTGGAGGGTGAAGACCGCCAAATAAGGGCACAGATAAAGTGAAATAAGCAGTCATTTATTTCTAAAAAGAGAACAAAAATAAAACCGTATGGTTTAAAATAACATGTGTTTGACACTTTACTGTACAAAAAAACAGAAGACTAGAAAAAGATAAATATAGGAATGCATTTTAAATATAAATAAATAATAATAAATAGGCGCAGTGGGTAGCACGTTCGCCTCACAGCAAGAAGGTCGCTGGTTCGAGCCTTGGCTGGGTCAGTTGGCGTTTCTGTGTGGAGTTTGCATGTTCTCCCTGCGTTCGCGTGGGTTTCCTCCGGGTGCTCCGGTTTCCCCCACAGTCCAAAGACGTGCGGTACAGGTGAACTGGGTAGGCTAAATTGTCCGTAGTGCATGAGTGTGTGTGTGAATGACTGTATGTGAATGTTTCCCAGAGATGGGTTGCAGCTGGAAGGGCATCCGCTGCGTAAAAACTTGCTGGATAAGTTGGCGGTTCATTCTGCTGTGGCGACCCCAGATTAATAAAGGGTCTAAGCCGATAAGAAAATGAATGAATGAATGAATGAATGAAATAATAAATAATCTACATTACTGCATAAAGTTTTAACTGTAGTGGAGTTGTAAAATGAGCCTATTTTCAAAAAGGAGTGTCCTTTTTCAAAGTATTTGGTATGTATTTGTATATTTCTTTGAAAACACACACACATGTTGGTATTGGTGGTTTACAGGGACTCTTCATCAGAAATGTATTTATGTATTTAAAAATAGCGTATTTAATGACCCTACCCCTAAACCCAACCCTCACAGGACACCCGTGGCAAATATCAAATACCAAAAGACCCTGTTAAGTGTGATTTTTAAGTGTGAGGAATTTGAATTACAATTATTGCAAGTCCAGTACAACTAGGTCATACATATTGTCACGTCTGACGTGTGGTGCAAGGAGTGAAACAAAATTGTGAGGATCCAAATGCAGTCCTTTCAGGTTTATTGATAATCCAAATTAAAGCGTTAACTGAACAAGGACATGGATAACAGTCAGACCTCGTTAGAAATAACATAACCAATCAACAAAAAATGGCTTTAACAAAGGCATACAATGCAAAATGCCAAAAGAGGCGATAGCTTTACCTACTGCACCACCGCGTCGCCCTTTATTTATTTTTAAAAGGTGTTGTTGTAGGCTAAACTCATGTGCTGATATATTCTTTTCTGGCTGCTCCGAGAGAATGAAAACAGTGTTATCATAAACCGTTCATGTAAAAAGATCATAGCACTTGGAGTTTTGATAATGATGCAAAACCGTATCACATATCTCAGACATTGTTTGAATAATAAGGTAACCTCCCTACTGATGAGTAACACTGTTTCATAGACTCACCAGTGCTCAATTTCACTCTCATTGGGTGATTTACAGTATGAGAGAAGTCCTAGAAGTCCTCTGAAAATTTTGTCTCCATGTAGTTTGGACATGATGGCTTAGTGGTTAGCACTGTCACTTTACAGCAAGAAGCTCAGCTGGTTCGAGTCCAGGCTGGGTCAGTTGTCATATATATATATATATATATATATGTGTGTATGTATATATATATATAT